TCAGGTAGAGGTAAGATGACGACGCATCCAGAATTGGGTCACTTTCGCAATGACTTGCCAAAAAAGAAAGATTGCGGCTGCTTCTGCTGCTGTTGCTGTTGCTGATGGTTGCTGCTGACGATTGCTGCTGACGGTTACTACTGCTGTGGCTGCTGCTGCTGTTGCGCGCGACGCCTCGCTACGAATGTGAATGAATGAGAGTGACATTGGCGTACCTTAACCTCAAATGTGCAAGCTTTAAAAAAGGAAGAAAAAACACACTCAAACACACACACACACCCGTGCACACAAACGGGTATTATTAATGTCTTGCTTCTTTGGAGCCAAACACACATTCTTTTTGTTTTTGTCACAAATGCCGTCGACATTCTCTGGCTAAACATAGCGTCTCAGCCGGCAGGGCTGGGGCTCCGGCTGGCGTGTAAGCGGGAGCGCGCGATTATTGATCGTATTAGAGAAAATCGTTAACTGTAACATGGCGTCGCTCACACAACGCCAACACGCGGCATTAGAGCGCTCAATGATGGTTGTGTGTATATGTGTGTGTGTGAGTGTGTATGTGTGTAATTGTATTTGTGCTTGCTTGTGGCGTGTAAAACGCAGCTGACCGTGCTCCACAGTCAACAGACAACGAGGGCGTTGCTCGCTCGCCGCTTGCTTTGGCTCCGCCCTTATGTTGTCTTGGTAACCAGGCGCTGCTCTGTGAACACAAGAGGCCGCTGGCCAATGCGCGTGCGCTGCCTACGCTGTGTACGTAAGAGAACCGGAGCCTGTCATTGGCAAGACCTCGGAACCGGTGGTGAGTCGCTGTGCCAGCTGCCGCCGCATGTTGCTGTGTGTGTGTGTGCGAGAGTATGCGTGCGAGTGTGAGACGGAAAGACGGTACAGGGCTATGGGCGAGAGCGAGTCGGCGCTGTCTCTGGACTGACGCAGTCGCTGCTGGCGTCGCAGTCGCTGTCATCGTCATCGTCGGCGGCACTTGAGCGCGGCTCGAACAATATTTGTTGGCAGCAAGCGCAAGCCAAATAGTAGACAAGCGTTCCCCTCTGCAAACAGTCACATTCAAGAGCTCAAGCCAAAGAGACACTCGAGCGGACCAGCAACAGCAACAGCACCGGCAACGGCAACGGCAACAGCAGCAGCCTCCAGTTGGCTCAGCAGCAGCTCAGCAACCTCAGACTCAGACTCAGTGGCCAAAAGCAAGCTAACAATTCACGTTCGTGCGTCGGTTCGTTGCGGCGCGGCGCGCATTAAAATAGAGTCATATTTGCCACGTTATTTTATTTTCAAATTTGCACAAGGCATCAGCGGCGCACACAAATAAATTAATCAAAGTGTTTAGCTCAAGAGGAGCGACAAGTGCACAAACAAATGCCAAAGCCAAGCCAGCACCAACGGTAGCAGCAGCAATCACAACAGCAACATCAGCAATAACGGCAACAATTGCTGATAGAATAGAACTTCCAACAACAATAAGTGACAAGTATAGTGCACAAAAATGCAACAAATATTTAATTTAATTAACGTAGTGACAGTGCATTGAACAACGACAACAATAACAAAAAGATTCAAATCGAAACGAAAAAAAAAATAGAATTTGTTACCTTTATCATTTTTATAAATCGAACGCGTGGATTAAGCGCGTCGACAATTTTCTCCATAAATTTTAAACGCAGCGCGTAAAAAAGTCGGCAACATAACGGCGCAATTATTGAACAGTTTTCTCAAGGGTAGTCCCCACCAGACCACCATAGATATAATGCAAAAGCTCTATGCTGAGCCGCCGCCCAGCAGCGCGCCAGTTAGCATGTCTAGTGCTGGCGGTGCTCCATCCACGGGCGGTGGCGGTGGCGGTGGTGGTGCGGTCCCGACCAGCAACAATAATCCCAATCCCACCTCCAATGGCGGCAGCATGAGTCCATTGGCGCGTTCAGCTTACACCATGAATAGCATGGGCCTTACAGTGGGTGGCATGTCCTCCGTTTCGCCACAAGCGGCAGCCACCTTTGGCGCCAGCGTTCTAGACTCGGCTGCAGCAGTGGCCAGCATGAGCGGCAGCATGGGCGCGGCAGCGGCTATGAACTCTATGGGCGGAAACTGCATGACACCCAGCTCAATGAGCTACGCTAGCATGGGCTCACCATTAGGCAACATGGGCGGTTGCATGGCCATGTCGGCGGCGAGCATGTCGGCAGCTGGTTTGGGTGGCAGCTATGGCTCGATGCCACCAGGTACTCGTGACATGGAGCCCGGTTCACCCAATTCACTTGGACGACGGGGCGTTGACAAGCCAACCACGTACAGACGTAGCTACACGCATGCGAAGCCGCCTTACAGCTACATCTCGCTCATAACGATGGCCATTCAGAACAACCCGACACGCATGCTTACATTATCGGAGATATATCAGTTCATCATGGATCTATTTCCGTTCTATAGGCAGAACCAGCAGCGCTGGCAGAACTCCATACGCCATTCACTGAGCTTCAACGATTGCTTTGTGAAGATACCACGTACTCCGGATAAGCCGGGCAAGGGCTCATTCTGGACTCTGCATCCCGACTCTGGCAATATGTTTGAAAACGGTTGCTATCTGCGTCGCCAGAAGCGATTCAAGGATGAGAAAAAGGAGGCCATACGACAGCTGCACAAGAGTCCGTCGCACAGTAGCTTGGAAGCGACTAGTCCGGGCAAAAAAGACCACGAGGAATCGCACCACATGCACCATCACCATCACACGAGTCGCCTGGAGCATCATCAGCACCACAAAGAAGCGGGCGGTGGCGGCGTTGCATTGGCGGGAGTTAATGTGCTAAGCGCAGCGCACAGCAAGGATGCCGAAGCGCTGGCCATGCTGCATGCCAACGCAGAGCTTTGCCTCGGCCAGCAGCCGCAACATGTGCCCACGCATCACCATCACCAGCACCACCAGTTGCAGCAGGAAGAGCTGTCCGCGATGATGGCCAATCGGTGCCATCCGTCGCTGATCAGCGACTACCACTCATCGATGCACCCACTGAAACAGGAGCCCTCCGGCTATACGCCCTCCAGCCATCCATTTTCCATCAACCGCCTGCTGCCAACAGAGTCCAAGGCGGACATAAAGATGTACGATATGAGCCAGTACGCCGGATACAATACGCTCAGTCCGCTGACCAACTCACACGCTGCCTTAGGCCAGGATTCTTACTACCAGAGTCTCGGCTACCATGCGCCTGCCGGCACCACGAGCTTGTGACATCACCAGTACCCGCTGGCTTAAGGGCGCGCGGAGCAGATGCTGCGCTTTGGCGGCGGCGGCGGCTCGCATCAGCAGCAGCAGCACCAGCAGCAACACTTGCAGCAACAGCAACAGCAGCACCACCAGCAGCAACAACAGCAACAGCAGCAGGCGGCGCAGCAACTGACATCCGCTACAAATACCACATCAAAGGGCAGCAGCAAGCCAGCGGTGGCCGCCAATTTTTCACAGAAGTTGGCCGCCTCAGTGCAACAGCAACAGCAACAGCAACAGCAACAGCAGCAGCAACAACAGCAACAACAGCTACAGCAGCAGCAGCAACAGCAACAGCAGCAACAGCTGCTGCATAGCCAGCTATCAGCGGAGCTACAGGAAGACTCCTCCAACATAACCAGCGACCTCAGCGAGGAGCAACTGCAGCAGCATCAGGCGGCGCAGCAGCAGCTCTACAACAACTATCAACAGTATGCGGCTGCGGCCAGCTATCGCAACTGGAATCACAGCTTGACATTCAACAGCGCCGCCGCATTACAGAATCTGCTGTAGCCCTGCACAAGGCGCGGCTTTGTGTAGGAAGTAGCATTGCCGACTCACTGCCCGGACCTGGTTGCAATCACAGTTGGGTTCGGGCAGCCGGGCCTAATTAGCGAGCGACTGTTCAATGGCTTTTAGCACCTGGGCGCATCCTTTGAGCTCACGAGCACGTGAGTAAGGCTCCTACACTTGTAAATAGTTCAACCTAATCTTCTGGAAGCACATGCTTAGTCTTTGCCTTTATGTTTTTTTTTGTTTTCAAATTTATTCTGTTGAGGAATTCAAGAAAAAAGTGATGTAGTTGTAAGCGCAGTAACGGCCACATATATAGTAAATTCTATTGGCCGTTAAGCAATAGAACTTTGTTAACATTTATGTCTGCTAAAAACAAGAACTTCCGTGCCATTTGTTTATTCTCTATATAAGCAATAACAATCGAATCGGTTTAACTTCAACATTTTAAATGTGTGTGAAAGTAACTGATATAGCTACACAAAGTCAGTGAGAGAGAGAGACACCGCGAAACAGAGAGAGACAAATATATAAAAGAGTTTGTGAGCGTAATAGAGAGAGAGAGAGAGAGAGAGAGAGAGAAAGCAAAAGAAAAGCGGGATTGTGTGTAATGTTTATTACAAAACAAAAAAATAAAAATAAAAGTAAACTCCCTTATCCAAAGGCAACCGAATTCGAATCGCAAATGATCAAAAGCCAAAAAAAATATATCCATCAATTTCAAGATCCACTTAAGAATCCTCAAATTTATCGACCTAAGCAACAACAATTGGCCATGCATTGGAAACGTCACGTTTATATCATATAATTTATAAATTATTTCCATCTTTACTATCTGTATACAATAATTATACATCCATTTTTATTTGCATTGTATGTTTTCTGTTCTTGTACGAATTCGTTTAGGCCTAAGCCATTTGTAAATAGTCTATAAATATATGTGTATGTACTATATTATATTTAAGGCAGCTAAAATTAAACTCAAAGCCCGAAAAAAAAACAAAAAAAAGAAAACAATTTAATCTAACTTGAGAATTAATCAAATTGTATGCTACACAAGATTAACAAATACTGTATAGCATTTAACGTTTAATTAGCATAAATAATAAAAGAGCAAGACGAGATACGAAACAAAAAACAACAATGAACGAAAAACTGCAATTATTATTCAATAATTTTTAACATTAATTTTATTATTGTGCGTTAACAAAACCACACACACAAACGCGCATTTTTACATCAAGCTAAGCTAATTGATTAAACTTAATATAAAGAAATAGTTTAAATATGAAAATGCAAAAAAGCAAACAAAAAACAAAACAAAAATCACAATAAATAATATACAATGTAAAATATATACACATTGAAATTCATAAATGTCAACCGAAAACGAAATAAACATCCAAAATCTAAAGCTAGTTAAAATTAATATTATAAATCGTGCAAAAATTTAAAAAAGACAATTTTAATGTTTGAAATATAAAAAAGAAATGGAAAAATATCCACGATTTGTTTGAACTTTCCATGGGCTGAAGGTAATCAAAGCGTTGCCTTTGTTTATTTAAACAACTGACCTCCAACAAGCATTTCTGTATTGATTGGATCGAACATCAATGCAGCAACATGAACGACCGATAGCGCCTGTGGCCTGCACCCAACTCATCGAGCATTTCCAAGAGCTCTTTCCTATCTTATCGCAACTCGGATGTAGAGTGCAGTTTTCTCTCCTCTTTTTTTGATAAACTTATCAGAGTGTACTCGTAAATTGCAACGAAACAACAAGGTAAACAATTGAAACAACAACAGTACTGAGTTGCCCAGCCTAACCAGCGTGATGGTTACCTATCCCAAATGCAGCAATGGAGGCCTTTGCGCAGTGTCCCTATTTGCTGGCTCGTAATATACATATGACACCTAGGACTTGCTGCTTTCCTATCTGCTTCTTATCTGTCCAATATAAATAACCGCGCCTGATCCGACGCAGTTACCCTTTATACAAACATATAGTACGTGGTAGACCTACGTAAAGTTCCACACGTATTTACACTATAACTACTGGGCCCATGCTTAGTTATCTTTGTGATTCATTTCAAGAATCTACAATTTGTCCTATGTCTGGCTGGCTGCCTGACTCTTTGGCTGACTGGGCTCCCATTTATAATTCTCGAATAAAATACCTTTCTAGCTCTCCACCACACACTTATCTGCACCGTGCGATGTGTGCAGTGCGGTATCCGGTCATGTTTAACAAGCTGTTGTCTTTTTAATTAAGCAGCTTGGAAGGTCACCATTTTCTATGTATATCAATTCGTATGACCGTTGCTTTAATACTTTTTATGGTTCTGCATAAAAGAGCGCGCTTTGTTAAGGGGGACAGCCAGAAACGAGAAAATGGCGTTGTTGCTTTGATTCGACTTCGATGTTGAGTTCGATTTTCTTTCCTTGACATTGTACTGCTAACATTAGAGTTTCTTCATTTTGGCGGCAAGCAACCCCAGTCGGATTGAACTGGTTTTCTAAAATCTGTGTTTTGGGGTTGCTGCAACCACCAAGCCAGACCCCTTCGCCCAACCACCACCACCAACATCACCACCGCCCACAATAATTTTGTTCTTATTTTATATGTAAGCTCCTTCATGCCAGACATGCGCGCTACAAAGACGTTCACATTCGATGGCTTCTGGCCAGGGGCAAGGGTTTGTTGAGCTGTGGTGCTTCAGCCTGTCAGACTGGAGCTATCTATTCATAAATGCTAACGCCAACGTCAAAGCTGCTTCGCCTGGGCACGCGATCAATATGTAATTATTTTCGAATATGACGGACGAGTCCCTGGATTCGGGTTTGCATATAAAATTCTATTAAAAAGTTTGAACGTTTGACTTGGAGTGGGGCCGAGCACCACCAGCATAAAAAAACGGCTGTCACAATAGAATTACAAAAATTGTCATGACAATTTGCTGAGCATTAAAAATGTATGTTCTTGAAGTGAAGGCAACTGTTGACTAAAATGTTGCCTACATTTAAATATATATATATAATATATAAATATATATATATATATACATATATATATATATATATATATATATATATATATATGTATATATATATATATATATATATATATATATATATATATATATATATATATATATATATATATATATATATATATATATATATATATATATATATATATATATATATATACTTGATATATATGAATATATATACTTTATTGGCAAAAAATAAACATAACAAATAAATTAAGCTGAAAGTTGTTGCCTTTGAATTGATATGAATATTAATAGAAGCTTGCTAATAAATATTTATCTTCAATTTATACAAAAATATGTTTGGCATATTAAGAATAGCGTTATTAAGGAAGTATTGTACTATATTTTAACGTTAGGAATATTAAACTCAAAGTTTGATTAACCAGCCGGACTCAAAATCTGGACAATAGCGTTTAATTATTTCTGTTTTTAAATCGAAAACAATATAGACGAATATAGCCTACGACGAATATACTATTTTCACCCTGTGAACGAACATATAAACGCATTTCTTACATTGAAAACAATTAAAATATACCCAAGTAAAGAACAGATTTGTTCCACTTAGCCTGAACCACAAAAGCGAATTTTAGTTTAGTCTCTGTCTGATTTCTCTGGAATTGCCAGAGGTTGGGTAGCATCCAATTAGTAGGTAAGCTTTTTCAGCACATGATAAAAACCACAATCTTGTAGTAATTTTCTAATGGAATATTTAATTTCGAAACGAGACACAGAGAGCTAAACAGAGCCGGCAGCCAGTCCGGCTGGCAATGGGGCTGTTGCTGGGGCATAACACAATCTCCGCCATAAAAATGGCAGGCAATGCCAACCCTTTTACTCCCCAATGCGGCACACACGTAACAGCAGCAGCAACGGCAGCTTATACCGGATGGATTCACAGGAAGTAGTGCCACCGAGCCCTTGCTCCGGCCCCATTCCATTCCCCATTGCATAGAAAGGGCAAAGACAGCGCACGTAGCAATGGCGGAGGCAACATCGTCGCCGTCTCCATCGTCGTCGTCGTCGTCGTCGACATCGTTGTAGTCACAGCACTTTTTTTTAGCTCGAGGGCAGAACTCGCTCAGTTGGTTGGGTAGCCCGTGCCCGTACCCGTGTCAGGGGCTGCTTTGTGCACTGCTTTTTCATTATAATAATACTTTGTAATTAGGTTTTCGAAAGTTAATTAAAATTCGGTTATGAAAGCGGAAACTTTCTCATGAACGCTTCCGGTAACGGTAAAATGAAAAACGCATGAAGGCGGGGCCGCAGCAAGAGCGCCAACTACCAAGTGGATCCATTGCAAGAACTGGGTCTGTGACTCGCTCTGTTCCTTGTTAGGAAAATGGAGGATAAAAAACCGAAAAAGGATATTTTGTCGACGTCACACTCATCCTCTCACCGTTTATCTGGAGCCACAGACAGACACAAATTCTGGCAATGAGTTGGAGCTTGAATTGTGGAGATTCAACTCACGAAGCTGAACTTTGTTTCGAGGAAATTTTTGTGCAAACATTTCTGTTAAATTAAAAAATACATATTATATTTTAATGAGCAAAATGGTTGCTGCTGCCAACATTAACGTTCGTTTTGCTCTTTGTTGTTGTTGCTGCTGTTGTCACGTTTAACGCGCGCCGCGCCCATGCGCAAGGTTGGCCAACATTGCAAACGGGATAATTAAAATGATGACTTGAAAATAAATTGCTGTTATCTTTGACCAACAGGCTGGCTCCGAGCTCTTACACAGCTCCAGACCCATTTTCATTCAGTGTGGGCTGCGCAGTCTGTCGATGACGCGTCGATGTCGATGTCAACGGACGCCACATCATTATGCCCCAACTCAACTCTGGTTCTAGCAGCGGCTCAGGTCCTCGCCACACGCGTTCTCTGCTACTCAGAGAGTCTGTATATGTGTGTGTGTATGACTGAATGTGCTCTATCAGCGGCTGCCGCCGCTGCGTGCCTGTGAGCGACACTTACGGATTAGTCCAATAGCAACAACATCAACTACAACAACAACAACAACAACGAGCCTGGCTCAGGCTGACAAGTGGCCGTCTTTGGCTGGTTGTCCTTTTGCTGCTGCTGCGGCTGCAGCTATCGTCGACGTCGCTGTCACTGCATTGTGTTTTGTTTATCTTAAACATTCCACACATAATTAGCAACAAAGCCGTACCGTTAACAGTGCCTCCCTCTAGCCAACGCAACGCCTGGCTGCTGCAAGCAAATTGAAATTAATCCGTGAAACCTTACGTTCCGAAAATGCGGGCACGTGTCCTCAAAATCACTGCTGGACCACGGCAGGCAAGGCCACGCGCCGTCCTTTTGCCATTTTTGTGTGTCGGCAATCAAAACATAACAAATCGGCCCAGCGGCACGAGTGTGAAGTTTACGGAGCATTATCTGAGAAGTCGATGCCATAAGTTTCGGCATGTAGTAGAACACACTCATATCTCATATCTTTGAATCTGTATCTCTATCTCTAGTACTACGGCCAGCAACTAAAGGCAAGCTTAGCTGCAGCGGCAGCGCATTAATCATATTCGGCAGTTGTGGGCGAGTGGGTGGCTGCTTGTGGTTGGCTGGCTGATGGTTCGTACCCATGGTTCGGGCTCTACGCTGTGACAATGACTGATGTGCTGGCAGCAAAGGCAACAACGACAACAGCCGCTTATCGATTGGCAGCCGCAACACACCTTTATCAAGCAGCCAACACCAGCAGCCCCACTGGATTGGATGAAATACGAGACGTCGCCAGCAGCGCGACTAATAACCAAATTGTGTTTTGACAGCAGGCGGGTGAAAGGCCCTCACTGCGAGCGGCTAAAATCATTGGAATATGATAAATGTCCCGAATCATGTTTGCTTGACAATCGCCCTAAGAACCATCAACAGTCTTTTACGATCATTCATGCATAATTATATAAGTATTCGCAAATTGACAGAGCTGACAGAATGGAAAAGAAATTGCATCAATAAATAACAGTGCAAATAACTTACTATTTAGTATTCCAATTAAAGTTAGAGCTTATTATAAGAATACAGCCATACAATTAATATTTCAGGCTATTATAATAAATACTTTCAAAATGTGTTTAAGTTGAACTCGGTAAAACGTAATTATGACGATTTGCAATTAAAAAGTAATTTAGCTAATTTATCAGTTGCTAAATGCTGCGACGCATCAGAATGATTATTTGGTATTTGGCAGAAGTCAAATAGAAATCGATGCGTGTTCGTTAAATTAAATTAATTCAATTTATTTGAAAATGTATTTACACACGCAGCCGAAATTAATGTGAAATAATCAACGTCAAATACAATGGCGGCTGAATATCAGAAAATGCTATGGCTGCTGCATCCGGTCGGTAGAGGCAACTGCCAGCCAGCGATAGGGAGTGGCTGGGCTGGCCACTGTTTCCGGTGGGGACAAGAGCAACGGAAACGGACATGGTCAATGGGGCAGTTGGCGCATCCTCATGCTCATTCTGTTCGAGGAGCTAGGAATTGGCGCTCGATGTTTGCACAAACGCTTCACTGCATAAGTGAATGAATAGGCAAGTGGGCAACAGTCTGGCCGACTGACGGATTGACTAACTGACTGAGCGACTGCATGACTGACTGATTGATGCTCTGAGTTTTGATGTCACACACTCGACAACAAGTTGAACAGACTGCAAATTCATGCAATCTAATTCACAATTAATGGCAAATTCCCTGCCACTTACGAACCTCTGCGTGCGTGTTTGTGTTAAAATATTTGCACAATAATTAATTGAATAATGTCAATAAATTTTCAACACATTTCCATTCGTGCACTGAGTGAAACAGAGACAGGCCGATATATGCACAGCCAAACTTTCAGACACATGTCCTTGCACAGGACAAACACATTTGCGTACAGACCGGACCGGTACGGTCCAGGCCCGGCATGGGACGTTCCATGGCTGGGATAATACGCAAACTGGACAAGTTTGTCTGCCGGCCGTCAGCCGTTAGCCGTCAGTAGTTGGCTGCTGGCTGGTGGGCTACTTGGCTGCTAGCTGACTCTGATGGTGGTGGTGCGATTAGGCGAAACGAATCAACAAATCAACACACTCAGCAAATTCGTCAGCAGGATGCGGATGCCTTCACGCTGACTGCTGCACATTGTGTCTCATTTCCATTTCCAACAGACAATGTCGACTGCTCAAAAGTTTGTCTTTCAATTTCGAAAATGGTATTTGTCAAGTGGGCGCACTCCCGCCCCCAGTACCCCAACACCCCAGCAGCCCAACAACCCCGTACCAGCCTCAACTCCGCTCGCCGTCTCTCGGTTTGTCGGTCCGTCGGTCTGTTGGGCTTTTGGATTTGCATAGCTCAGCAGCAACAATCGCTGGAAAGGCAAAAACAGAATGGCAACCGGAGCAGCAATGTCGTGCCAAACAATGCTCACGTTTGACCAAAAGGATAGGATCCATGTGTTGCCTTTCTGTCCTTCAAATCGCTCAAGTGCTCTAGAGGAGCAGCCACATCCAGGCGAACCATCCGTTTTCGGCATAGTCTGTAGATAGCGCTCTCTCTGACATACAGACCGCCTGCCCTAATTTTAACGTTTTTATACAAATTTCTATGTGCTGCCTATTATTTGACTTCATGGTCAGACTTCCATAGCGTACCGGACAATCCAGTTGCTGTTGAATGAATTACGTCGGAAAAGGCCATCATGCCTTTAATTCAGTCAAAGGATATTTAGAAAATACTAATCTTTTGCTGTCAATTTTCTTTAAAAGAAATGCTTAGCTTATTAAAATAAACAAGATTTATATAATTATATCTTCAGTTTTATTCAATGACGTCTATATTATTAATAATAATAATGTATAATGGAAAGATCCTAGAAT